AATTCATAAATGAAATTTAATTAAAATATTAAATTTTTGTCAGTTCTATAAACGTAGTAGTTCATTGACTATGGTAGTTCATTGACTAGGGTTAATGGAACTTTAAATGATGTTAAGTGAATATAAATGATGGAAGATGATGGATAAAATGTATGAGATGAAACATTTATTTATTACATAATTCATGATACTCCCCTCGATGTTTTATTCCTTTAAAGAAATTTTTCTTTTTGATGAGATCTTGATCCCCTTTCATAATCAAAATTTATAAATCATCATTTTAAGAGCTCACCACAAATATTTGAGGCTCGATTTTTCAAGGACAAAAATGAATCATTATCTCACGATCTCATAACAAATGTTTGAAGTCTAATTTCTCATGACAACAATCTCAAATTTTGATATTTCTCATAATAGTTATAAAAATTCTAAAATTATTAATATAATATATGAACTTAAAAAATTTTGAAAATATATTGAAAATAATAAGAGATAAAAATAAAAATTTTACTTTAAAATCTTTTTTTAATAATCTTACTTAAAAGAATTATTATCTTAAATTGATCACTAGAATAGATTACATAAAAATAACTCATGTTAATAATATATTATCAAATAAATAATACTTAATTATGATGAAGTAAGATTAAATAAAAATAAATTAAAACGATGAGATGAGAAGGGAGGTGAAAGTATGCTTTCTATTTTCTCATTTCCATTTCCACTTCATAGCTTCATACAATATCAGTTTATATATAAACTAAATGATAATTAATATTTTTTTCCCAACCCAAACGCATCAGAAGCATTTATATTCTAAGCAATACGAACGACTTTTTAAGCATTTTTAAAGTGCTTATTATTTATCAAGTTTTACGTGCATAAAAGAAAAAGTAGTGCCCCATCTAGCACTATATGACTATATGACTTAGTGATTATAATCTACATGGAACATGCTATGACATATAAGTTTTGAGTTCTACACCCAAGCATTACTTCTCCCAACCCCACAATTCCCATTGGTTAAAAAAAAAGAAAGAAAAAATAATGCCCCTAAATTCTGAGAAATTTCTTTATAAGTACTTTAAATGTCAAAAATGACAAATTTCCTTCGAAAAAGGTTGAGAGAAAAAATATTACTCCCTATGTTTAAAAATAATTGTGGTTGTTTAAATATTTTTATAAATTAAATATTTAAAATAATTTATGTATTTATTTATATTATTTTTTAAAAAATAAAAACATACTTTTTTTTATAAGAATTAGTTAAATTAAATAAATAATGATATAATTAAAGTAAAAAATAAAATATTTATCTAGATTTAAAAAATAAAAAGATAATAATTAATTTAAAAAAACTCAAAATTAAAAAATTATTATTATTATGAACTGTCTATGTGTGATAAGTTTATGAATGGAATACTATTTCTGTATATTTCTTTGAAAAGATCAGTACATCATATATACAAGGAATCAGAGTAAAAGGTGGCTAAATCAACTGAGCTAAATCAGTTGGTACAGATATGCCAATATATTTCAAATATACCAGATAATTTAAATAAATACCAGATATACTAAATCCATAATTATCTGCAATCTAAAACCATAATTATCTCCAATAATGTGCACATTGTAATAGGTTGTAAGGCTATGATGGCCCGCTTTCTATCCCGGCGGGTTTCAGCATCTCCGATGCAGTGTGGTAATGTTGTTGCTCACGAATCAGCAGGGAGAGTTCTTCGATTGAGGAAGGTCCTAATTATATTGTGCATCTTGTAATACTCTATCCAGCTTTATAATTTTTCCTGCTTCCTATCAACAGGAATGCGCTTTATATCTAATTGGTTAAAACTTCATTTTGATCCCTGAACTATTCTACAGATATTTCATTTGGTTCTTAAATTTAAAAAACCCATGATTTGGTCTCTACTGTTCACCATTTTTATTCCGATTTAGTCTTTCCGTTCAAATTTTGATGACGAGGCCTGTTAGTTCACTGTTACAAGATGACATGTCAAATATTAATACATGTGGAAGATAATATGACAAAAAAATGATGGTATGAAAAAATAATAATATAAAAAATTGAATACAAAATTAAAAAGTAAATTCTTTTTTTTTTTTTTCCTTTTCTTTCCCTTTTTCTTTCCCCTTCGAATCTTTCCCCTTCAAACCCAATAGCTAGGTTCCTTGGAACCCAGCACACCTGGGTTCGCGTGTTTGATGGAATCCAGTGTGCCTGGGTTCCTTCGAACCTAGCAACTGGGTTCCAAGGAACCTAGCACACTTGGGTTCGATGGAACCCAACAACTGGGTTCCAAGGACCAGGGTTCAAAGAAACTTAGTACACTTGGGTTCGATGGAATCCAAGATTTTTGGGTTTGAGTTTTGTTTTTTGTTTTTTGTTTTTTTTGGATTAATGATGATGAAAAATTGATTGATGAAGATGGAGAATTGATTGATGAAGAAGGTAAGGTAAGGAAGTGGAAGGAGAGAGGAGAAAGAAAAGGTGCTGTTGGGTTCAAAGATGCTTGGGTTCGAAAGAATCCATGAGCAAAAAATGTTTAAATAAAATTTTTTTTGGTGAGTTTTATTGTTTGATGATGATGATGAACCCAGTAAGAGTAGAAATTGATTGAAATGAATAGATTTGTTGAGATGTTACAAGTTGGTTGAGATCGTAGGGTTTGTAGAGAGTTCGCAGAAGTTGAAGAAAGGGTAGATGAAAGAGAGGAAGGAAAAAAAAAAAATTTTTTGGGTGGGATGAGTTGGAATAGTCGTGTCATTTATTTTTGTCAACTTGGTAATTTTTTGTGTGACATGTAATGTTTCTTCTGTATTTGGCCATTAATTAACGTGAAAAATTAACGAAAGGATTAAATTGGGTAAAAATGATAAATAGTAAGAATCAAATCAAAAATTTTAAGTTTAAAAATAAAATTAAAGATCTATATAATAATTTAAGGACCAAAATAAAATTTTAACCTATCTAATATTTCAAAAAGAAAAACAAACTTATACGGGCAACTGGCTTTCACTGTATTATTGGACTTGGCAATAATTCACCACTTCCCTGTAGAAATGCTTATCTTGTAGTACCATTGCTTCTGCTTTCGGTCTATTTTCTTTCAAAAAAAATATTTTTTGCCTTGGATTCCATTGAGTACCATTCTCCTGAGTACGTACTATTTTATTTTGCTACATGGAATTGTCTATGTCATGAGGTCTGCTGCCATCTAATGAGCCAGCTACTGCTTTTGTAGCTAAGTGATGAATCTAGTTTTCCTTTTAAAAAACTAAAGTTTTATCGATATGAAAAATCATTCAAGTTATAACATCAATATGAATGAAGTAATTGTATAGGGATATTTTACTTATAAAATATATGTAAAATAATATTAAATAATTTAATATTTATATAAATATTATAATTAACATTAATTTTTACATTTGACAATAAGTTACATTTCAACGTAATCTATTTTAGATTGAAGATAAATTAATTAAGTGATCAATCATATATTTTTTTTGTGAAAAATAAAATTTTATTGAAATAAAAAAGGAATTATTATAAATCGAGGTAGTTTACAACCAAAAAAATTAAAATAAAAAATAAAAAATTGAGGTAGTTTCAAGAAAATACTAATAAAATTTTTTGAGAGGTTACAAACGTAATTCTAAAATAGTCCTAAAATTCTAAATTGGGACTTTGTAAAGTCAAGTTTGCCCCTCTCTCTAACTCAAATTTACAAAACTATGTCATTTCTCTTTAAAATTTATTTCTTTTATCTTAAAATTCTAAATTGGGACTTTGTAAAGTCAAGTTTGCCCCTCTCTCTAACTCAAATTTACAAAACTATGTCATTTCTCTTTAAAATTTATTT